TGCTCTTATTATCCTCATTTTACAATTGAGGGAACCAAGGCAGACATTGGTTAAGTGATTTGCCCAATGTCACCCATCTAGCAAGTATCTGAGGCTAGATTTGGTCTAAAAAGTTCCTGATTTGAGGACAAGCATTCTATCCACTGAACCACCTAGCTGCCTGTCATCTTTATAATCTAAATGCTTAACAGATCTACAGTCTTGATGGCTTGTTTCCTCCACTAAACCAAGCTCCACATTCTACTTCATGGCTGTGGCCCAAAAAGTGCATCTCCTGCAGGTGATGCACTTCTCCACAATTAGCTGGGTTTTCCCCTGAAGGAAAGACTACCTGCCTGTCATCCAGGCTGTATATGAAGCGTTGACAGGTTTGTAGGGCAGACCAAAGCTTCTGCTCTGCTGGCATAGTCTTTGAGAATCCCAAGTTACATCCATGTGAAAATGAGGCATGTAATGACTTTTGTGGAGGTAATTGAAGAAAAAGAATTACCATCCAAAAGATAGGAATAAAAGAAGAATATAATAATATTCTTATAATAAGATAATAAGAAGAGATATGAAATAAGAGATATAATAATAAGATAATAATATAATGTAATAAGAAGAGCTCACACATATTGTACTCTAAAGTTTAGTAGGGAGGCAGCAGGGGATGATGGGAAAAGCAATGGCTCTGGAGTCAGAAGGCCTGGTTTTGAATTCTACCTCTGAAGCCTATTACTGTGTAAACCATGGGTAAGTCTTCAAACCTCCCTGGGACTAAGGATTTTCTTCTTCCCATCTCTACATTACACTGGCCCTCGTCATCATCTCCCATTCTTGCCCCATTCTCCTGTCTTTGATGAAGAGAAGGCCAGTCTCTTCACTGAGGCCAATCCTTCCACATCCACCTCTGTTCACACTCCCTCTAAAAATCTGGTCCCATAATCCTCACCCTTTCTCCATTATCTTCATTCTTTCCCTCTCTATTTACCAGTTCTTTCCTCGATGGCTACAGACATGTTCAAGTTTCCAAATTCTTAAAAAAAATTCTTTAAATCCTACCATCTCCCAAACTATTCTCCCTTTCTCAGCCAAATCCCAACCAAAAACCCTGCCTTTACTCCCTCTCTTCTCATCTCATCATAATCTTTTGCAGTCTGACTTCTGACATCATTGCTCAACTGAAACAGCTTTCTATAAAGTTACCACTGATCTTTCCACCATCAGATCAAATGACTTTTCATTAATTCCAATCTTGCTTGCCCTTTTCTGCAACTTTTGATACTGTCAACCAGCCTTCCTCCTGGATAATCTCTCCTCTGGATTTTCATGTCACTGTGCTCCCCCAGTTCTCCTCCTACCTGTTTGATCATTCCATCCTAGTTTCCTTTTACTGGACAATCATCCATATCATGCTCTCTGTGAGTATTGCCCAAAGGTCTGTCCTGGGACCTCTTCTCTTCTCTCTAAAACTGCTCTTGTTGAGCTCATCAACTCACATAGCACCTGATTTTCATCTTTGTACTGAGGACTCAGAGAACTATATTTCCAGCTCTTGAGTTCTAGCTGCCCACCACAAATTGCCAGTTGGATATTTCAAATGGGCTGCCTCAAATTCTGTTTGTCTAAAACACAACTTATCTTTCCCCTCAAAACTCCTCTTCTCCCAATCTTCCCTGTTTCTCCTTAAAAAATCTCCTCATTTCAGTCACCTAGACTTACAGCCTTAATGTTTCCTTGACTCCCCATTTAATTTTTTTTCAAGCTGCATAGCCAATCAATTGCCAGATCATGGAATTTCTTTCTCTACAACATCTTTCATCTTATGTCCCCTTTTCTATACTCCCTCAGCTATTGCTCTATTTCAGGCCATCATCATCATCCATCTGGTACATTAAAATAAACTTTTTTATTGGACTCCCAGCCACAAGTATCTCCCTACCCCAATCCCTGTGCTACCAAGCTGCCTAAGTGATTTCTCTAAACATGTCACCTTTCTGACACCACCTGCAATTCAGAAAATGGCTCCTAATTATCTCTAGGACCAAAAATAAACTCCTGTGTTTGTCATTTAAAGCTCTTTACAACATGGCCTCTTTCCAATTTGAATACATTACTCCCCTCTATGAAATTTATAATCCAGCAATATTAGCCTACTTTCTGGTCCTCACACACATGCTCCATTTCCCACCTCCAGGACTTTGCTCTGACTATCCCTCATGCCTAGAATGCTCTCCCTCCTCATCTCAGACTCATAGAATCTATAACTTCCTTTAACACTCAACTTAAGTGCCACCTTCTCCAGAAGCCATTTCCTAGTCCCCTCAGCTGCTCAAGTCTTCACTTCAAAAGTTTACTGGAAAGCTTCTTGGGATTCATCTGGTATGTAATAATGTGTGTATATGATGTTTCACCCATTAGAATATAAGCTTCTTGAGAGCTTATATTCTAATAAGCTCCTTGAAAGTAGGAACTCTTTATGGTTTTTTTTGTATCCACAGTGCTTAATACAGCCTGACACATAATAATTGTTTAATAAAAAAAAAAAAACTTAAGTTTTTTTTGGGGGGAGGGGTGGGTAATCAGGGTTAAGTGACTTGCCCAGGGTCACACAGCTAATAGGATTCTGAGGCTGGATTCCTCCTGACCTCAGAGCCAATGATCTATCAATTGTGCCACATAGCTGCCCCCATAAATGCTTGTTGATTCACTGATTGACTGAATTTTTAGCCAAACGAAAAAGCTAATAGGCACTTTTCAGTCTATTACCATGAGCTTGCCTTTGTCCTTGCTTGGTATGATAGGTTTCCCTCCTTTGTAGAATGAATGGCATTGAGAACAGTAAGAGCATCCTTATTCAGCTTTAACAGCAAAAAGTAATGTTGGGTTCCAAGGTGAGCGAGCCCAAATATCCCAATGCTTTTTATTACTTTGTTTGTTGAACCAAACCCATTTGTCAGGAGACCAGGGTATGGACGCATAACTCTAGAGTACACTGACCTGAATCAAGGTGGTCAGAGAACTCCAAACTTTTCTGAGTAACTCACAGCCAACTCAGAGGGTGTCTATTTTGAATCCAAGCTACTTAGCCCAAAGGCTTTCCACATTAACAGTTAAGTTCTGGAACCCATCATCACAACAATTAAAAATCTACTCCATTCCTGAACCTCTGGGAATCTCCCCCAAGTGTACCAGAACCTCAAGTGGAAGGGAAGTGGCTAAAGGAAGGGGGGTATGGACCCAGTTCTGACTTACTCCTACCTGTTCTAGGGTCTTTTGAATATTCTAACTCAATCTAAGCTCAGTGTAAACTCCCTGAGTGCAGTATTGTACAAAAAAGTAAAAATAATGAAAAAGTTGACCAGAAGCATCCTAATTTGAATCAGCATTTTGGAATCACTTCATGGATGAGATTTGTGGTCTGATTATATCCCCTGGCCTGGTATGGCAGTGACACAGTGCTCTTACCTAGAGCTTTCTCCATATGCAGTGATTGGGCCCTTCCTGGATTGTGCCAAATGGTAGTCAGCCCACCTCCAAAAAATTTACAATTCTAGAATCAGTAATGAAAGGGACTTTGATAGTTTGTTTTGTTTTTTGACTAGGCAATGGAGTTAAGTGACTTGCCCAGGGTCTGTGTGTTATGCAGCTAGTAAGTGTTATGCTTCTGAGGTCAGATTTGAACCCAGGTCCTCCTGAATCCAGGGCCGGTGCTCTATCCACTGTGCCACCTAGTTGCCCCATGAAAGGGACTTTGAAAGGAAAACTAATTCATTCTCTTGCTTTTTAACTATATTTAAGTCGTCCAAGAAGGAAAACTACCCTATTTTTAAAGGCTACTACCTCATAGGACAATGAAGATCGAATGAAACAATGTGGATGGAGGGGTTTTGAAAATATCCATATATGTAGAAAAAAAGACATTGCAATAAAGGGCCCATCCTGAGTAAGTCTCAGGGACTGGATTCCCAGGAGTGCCAATGGCCTTTCCAGCTACTCTACACTAGCATCTTCCTGCAATGTGATTTAGAGGTGACCCTGGTTCTTGAAAGATTTGCACCAATGGAGCACAGTATAGCTAAGTGGAAAGAGCACTAGCTCTGGAGTCCCAGAACATGGGTTCAAATCTCACATCTTACACAACCTGAGGGACCTTGGGCAAATCGTTTCACCTTCTCAGGCCTCAATTTGCTCACATGTAGAATGAGATTATATGGTTCTAAGGCTGCTTCTAGCTTCAAATCTGAGACCATATTTAAAAAGTTCCGGCAGGAGCCATTGATTGGAAAGGTCTCATGTACTAGCCTACCCTCACTAATTTTGGAGTTCATGACTAGGTCGGTCTCAAGCAAATGAATTCATCAGCCACAGCAACTCTCTAACACTGACTATTAAACTGTGGAGGAATTCTTCTTGGCGCCTGTGAAGGTAGTGCCCACACCAGAAAAATGACATCTTGGAAAGACTGAAGGGATTTAACATGGATTTGCTCAAGTTCTTTAATGGTTTAGTCTGTTAACAACTCTGCTTGCCAGCAAATTTGTTTTTGTATTTTGCTCAACTCCAGGGCAATGTAGGTTGAACTTAATTCTCTTCCATTCTGTCTTTAGTAAAGGTATTCAATAATCCTTAATATACTTAAAAACCATAAACTCTGCCCCTAGGTTTTTGATTAGGGCAGGCACCAACTCTTCCCTTCCAGGCCCCTCTCCTCCCAAATTACCATTGGATATAATAAGCTTTAATAAGCCACTAGGAAGTAGACTGAGATCTCTAGGGGTGCTCAATTAGCCAATGAGTTCATTTTTCCCCCAAAACCAAACTTCTCGAAAACTCCCATAGCTTACTCAGATATTAATTAATAAATGCTAACTCTATGGAAAGAAATTCTGCTGATGTTGCTGCTGGCCAACAGAGAAATATGAGTGGGGAAGACCATTCAGAAAAATAAAGAGAAAGAAAGAGGAGAAAAATCTATCCAAGAGTCCACAGAAGCTGCAAAGGGAGAGAAATGTTACCTTGAATGAACTCAGACTTCCTGCTCACAGATGGCAGGGTTCTATTGAGGCCCAAGATACGGTCCAGGTGGAAAGCAAACACTTCACTCATGTCCAAGGGTCTCTTGAGCAAACCACAAGGACTGGTACCACAAGAAGGCCATTTGTTCTTCGAGTTCCCCTCCAGCACCAACAAGCGGGCCCCAGTCTGAGAAGGTAATTTTTGGATGTCTCCAATGGCACTGTCCGCCAACAAACGCATCCCACGGATGTCTTCTTTGCTCAGCCATGAGGGGGCACTCTCACTATATATCCTAATGTTGCTCTCCACAGTTCTAGGCAATTGGAGGGCTGGTCCCTGGACCAGTCTCCAGGGATGCCCCCAGCCCCTGTCCACCTGGTTCTTGTGGGGATTCCCAGGGACATCAGCATCTGCTGTCACTGCCAGCCCATGGGAGCGGATGGATGGTTTAGTCCACATCTCCTGTCTCTGGGTTAAGGCGACCAGGGCATACTTTTTCCTGCGTTTGGGCTTCACTGTACCTCGAATGTTAGCAGGTTTGCTCCTCTTGGAGCGCAGGGTGATGTAGACCACATTGGGTTGCAGGGTGGTCCCATTTCCTTGGCTATAAGGAGGTGCCAGTGTGCCATCCAAGGGCAGCTCCTGAAAGGGTGTCCCAGCAGCATCCAGGTTCCAGTGTGGCCCCTTTTCTGGTGCCCTTCGATGCTGGGGTGACACATGCCCAACTTGGCTCACCAGGAAGCCCAGGTAGAGAGCACAGGCAGTCCCTAGCAACAGATTTCTCCTGGTCCTTGGGCGTCTGCTACTCCAAAGCCTCAGCACCCTCGGGATGCACAAGGAGCAGACAAACCAGTTTATCAGTTGGCCTGGCTTGTCTGGGCAGGTCATTTCTCTGGTGCATCCACATGGTGAAGAGACTTTAAAGTCTGCAGACTGCTCCAGCTGGGATGATACATGCTTTCCAGCATTCAGCAGACCCCCTTCTTTGATTCCTAAGTAGTCTCCAATGAGTAGTGGCGGAAGGAAAGGGTTGATGACGGGGCTGGGAATGTTTTAATGACTGTGACACTTGGCCACAACAAGCTTCTGGATTCTTATCAGCCTCCCCAAGGGAAATGTGATTTGTTTCTGAGAATGAATGGAAACAGAATTAACTGAGTCACCAGCTCAAACCACTCCAGTTCCTCCCCTACCACAGTGAAGGAGATGAAATTGACACTCTTTTCCTTTCATAAATATACCCACTAATTGTTAAAAAAAAACAAAATTGAGAAGAAAACAAATGAAAAACCCAAGATTCAAGTGAAGATATGACAAAGCAGTTCCCAAATCCAAGTTAAAATAGAATACCCACATCAAAGAGCAGAGTGCCACTGCCAAACCAGAATCATTTATTTTTGTACTGAATGTGCCTGTCAAGCATTTCTCTTTTGGGTTCCAGAAAATATATGACACAAGTAATGGACAGTTTCTTTAATGTTTGTGGGTTTTTTTCTAATGTGCTGCTGTGACACATCTGCATTAAATATTTTTGTATTAATTAGGTTTGTAGCAGCTTCAAATATAAACATTTAGATTTCCAGAAGCATGCAATCAATCTTCATCTGCTCGGACAGAGATTTCTTGACATTTTCTTCATTACCTTACATTAAAAGAGCTTAGTACAGTCAAGTCACATACTGATGCCTTCTATAATTAGTTACATATTTCTCCTATTCAGTCACACAAAAACTCAGCTGCTTTTTAAAATATATTATTATTATTATTACTACTATTATTCTTTTCCTGTCCTCCAAAAGTAATTAAAAAAAAATAAAAGGGAACATTGGTCTAATTTTCTTTCCATTAGAAAAAAAAAGTGATAAGCAGCCTTACCTATGCAGCTGGTCCCATGCTTTGCTCTAGGAAAGTGGAAGTCCCTGACACTAATGCAAAGAACTTTCTAAAGGCTGAAGTATGTAAGTAGAGCACATTTCATGGACAAAAGTAATCCACATTTCTAATATTTCAATCTAGCGCAAAAACTCCTTAGAAAATTTACTAATTGGTTATATATGTATAAACTAGGCAGCGATACACTCTTACGAACCTCATTTATCTTTTTTTTCTTAATACATATATTTTAAAATACAAAACGTCTTTTTTGAATTGTGAAACAAAAAAAGCCCCAGGGGATGGACTAGGTTTTATTTGAAAGCACATTCCACCTATTCCTAACTCCTGAGAGCCCTCTAGTGACCTGCTAACAAATAGCTGGAGAAATCTCAACAAGCAAAATTAAAGGTATCAAAATTATTTTCTCTGTCTTATTAAAGCATTTGCAGGGGAATAAGTGAATTGTTAGGTCAGAAATGTCACCCAGCTCCCTCAGCCATACCCACCTGGTGATGAAGTCCCGGAATTAAGAAGCACCAAGACTGCCAAAATTGCTCTGCTCTCCTCATCATCCCGCCACTTTAAAGACTTACTCTTCTTCCCCCCACTTTAGTCCTGGGGAAGAGAAAAAAAGGTACAACTGTAAGTGGGGAGACAAGACCCAGACTGGAGAAAGAGGTCAGAGAAAATGAACAAACCATGGAACAGTGAGCTGCAGAGCTGTATATGAGCAGGGAAAAGGCATTTGAGAGTGTGCACTTAGGCACCGGGAGAGTTCACATGGAGAAGTTGTGGGATGTTTCTGATTGGAGACTTTCAAGAGTAGGTCAGTGATTGGTTTGGAGAGTTAGCAGGTCTCAGCACAGAAGCAATAGCTTGTTAACCTGGGGTCTCTTCCAGTCTCGTTTCTTGAGATTCTGTGGCAAATAGGAACTAAATCAGGAGGATATTAGGATCTTTTTTTTAAATAGTTTATAATAACTGGAGGATGAAAGAATAAATAAAAATCCTTAAGATTAACATAGTGAACATATGCCTAATCATTCCTTGTATTTTAGAACAATTATAAAAGGGATAAGAAGAATTGAAGAATACATAGGAAAATAAAATAATCAGCTTGTAAGTGGTAAAATTCCAACAAATTTGGCAAGAAGGCTAAGTATTACTTTAGCCTGTATAAACTTCTCTTTCTAGTCTGTTTGCCAAATGGAAGGAGGAAGACGATGGATTCCAATTTTTACAGCAATCAGACTAGCAAGTTCCTATAAGTTTTGGCAGTGAGATTAAATAATCACACATTGTGAATAGCAGATTTTTTACACCCCTTAATTTTAGTACCCTCTGCCCCTCCTCCCTTTTTTTGCTTCAGAATCTCTTAAAGTGCACTTACAAAAACACTGTATTTCATCACTGGAGTGAGGCAATCATTCAATTTCACCAATGGAAAAAATTATTCAATGATTTTCAATTGTGTTTTTAACTTTTTTTTTAAATAAAAAGAGCATGACCCCTTTAAGAATTAAAAGTAAGCCTGGCAGAGGCCAGGCTGGAAAGTTCAATAGACTTTTCTAGATGGTAGAAGGGGGAACAAACAAATAAACAGAAATCATTCAGTAGAAGCAGGGGAGAGATTTGAGCAAGTTAGTAAATTTGGCTGTCAGACAAAATGTTATCCTTACTGAAAAAATACCATCACAGGGTAGATAAGGCTCTGCAGATGCAATTCTGACATATTTCCATAATGTTTCTTCTTCCAGGCATAATCGATTATGGATTTAGAACAGAAAGGGGCCTCTGAAGGCATTTAAATGCAAACTCTTCATTTTGCAGAGAAGGAAACTGAGGCCTAGGGTGGCTTCAACTTGACCCAGATCATATGTCAGGGGCAGGATTGAAATTCAGATGTTCTGACTCCACAGTCTGTCCTTTTCCCTTTTTGGCCCACTTTGAGGGCTATCTAGAACAAAGGAACATATCTTTTCCCTGTGGGGGAAAAAAGTCAGAGTGAGAAAGCAGTTTTCAAAAACCAAAGATTAAATACTCACAAGATGAATAAACTCCTTCTTTCTCATAAGTTGCAAGCAAGTGGTAAAAGGCCTAAATGAGGTTACCAGGGAGGGCTGCTGAAGACAGAGTGAAGTAGAAACTTCTTAATGGCTCTGAGACTGAGAAAAGATTCAGAGTGGGTGAAAGCTGTGAGAATATCAGTTAGATGTAAAATGTCAGAGACTAGCCACTAGCCTTTTTCGTAAGAAAAAAAAAAAGTCAGAGACTAGCCTCTCACCTGTCCCCTCACTTTCTTAGTCTGTTTACCTATTCACACAACAAGCACTTAAGATAGCTAGTATCATGTCTAGACAACTTTGAAGAGACAGCTAGGTCTCACAGTGGATAGAGCACTGGACCCAGAAAGACCTGGGTTCAAATCCATCTTCAGACATTTTATAGCTGTATGACTCTAGATAAGTCTCTTAATGTCAGTCTGACTCAATTTCCTCATCTATAAAATGGAAATAATAATAGCACTTACCTCCCAGTGTTATTGGGAGGGAAAAAAGGATATAATATTGTAAAGTACTTTGCAAACCTTAAACAACTCTATAAATGTTAGTGTGATAGTATTACTACTAATAATTATTATATAATTATAATTATTGTATAATTATAATAATAATTACTACTAATAATACAATATCTCATTTGATCCTCTCAAGGCCCTGTCAGGTAGGTAATATTAGAAATCCCCAATTTACAGATAAGAAAAATGAAGCAAACAGACATTAAGTGACTTTCTCAGGGTGCTACAGCTAGTTAATGTCAGAGACAAGATTTGAGCCCATGTCCTCCTGCCTCCAGTTCCACTGCACCAAATGGCCAAGTGTTCCTATTTAAACAAAGCTGTGGTCTCAGGTTCATCTATATTCTGAAACCAGTTCTGGTGCTGTGGAGAAAAAAAATTCAAGGATTCCCTAGCTCAGAAGATAGCTTGGTGCAAGGAATCATTCTTGGTGGTAGTGAGCTTGCATTAACTTTTACTTGTGGAATGAGGACTACAAATACCCTCCTTTTGGGGGGATGGCAGGGGAGGATGGACACCTGGACCTAGAGCAGCTAACTGCTATTTCTCTCATCGTTCTTTCCGTTATGAAGATCTGGTTTCAAAATAGTCCCAGGGTAATTAGAATAACCCAGCCATGCTGCATCGGAGGAGGATATGTGACATAAAGACAAGTGAGAAGAGAAAGGAGGTACCTTATCAAATATCAATACACAGTGGGAAGTTCTAACATGAGTGGAAGGCATATCACCCAAGGATGGGGGAGAGAGGAGACAGACTCACAATAAACAATTATGGAATTATAAGCCTGTCTAGTCAAACAAGGCCCTTTGTTTTTCAAATGTAGTATATTTTATTTTCCCCAATTACATATTAAAACAATTTTTAACATTTTTTTAAAGTTTTGCATTCGAAATTGCATCACTCACCCCTTCCCTCCCTTCCTCCCCTCCCCCTCCCTGAGACAACAATCAGATATTAGCTGTATATATGAAATCATGTATTTCATATATTTCTATATTAGTAGAATATACTAATATATTAGTAAATATATTTCTATATTTACTATAATAAATAGTAAATTTATTATAGTAAATATTTCTATTTTAGTCATTTTGTACAAGAAGACTCAAATAAAAGAAAAATAATGAAAGAAAGTGAAAAATAGCATGTTTCAGTCTGTATTCAAACTATCAGTTCTTCCTCTGGAAGTGGACAGTATAAGCATACTGTCCTTTATATACATCATTAGTCCTTTGGGATTGTCTTGGATCATTGTATTGCTGAGAATAGCTAAGTCATTCATAGTTCTTTATCATACGATATTGCTGTTTCTGTATACAACATTCTCCTGGCTCTGTTCACTTCACTTTGCATCATCCATGTCTGGTTTTTCTGAAATCATCTTGCTTGTCATTCTTTATAGCACAACAATATTCTATCACAATAATACACCACAGTTTGTTCAGCCATTCCCCAATTGATTGTCATCCCTTTAATTTCCAATTCTTAGCCAACACAAAAAGAGCTACTATAAATATTTTTGTACAAATAGGACCTTCCCTCCCCCCTCTTTTTTTTTGATGTCTTGAGAATATAGATCTAGCTGTGATATTACTGGATCAAAGGGTATGCACAGTTTTATAGCCCTTTGGGCATAGTTACAAATTGCTATCCAGAATGGTCGGATCAGTTCACACCACCAATGCATTAGTGTCCCAGTTTTCTCCCATCCCCTCCATCATCCAACATTTTCCTTCTTTGTCATATTAAAAGCACATTCTTCTAGAGGGAGACACTAAGACAGAAATAGCTAAAGTGACCAATAAATCCAATGAGCACCAAAGAAATTTTTACCAACTGCTATGCACATCCTTACTTAACTTACTCATCATTGGTTAATTCAAATATACTTAGAGTTGCTTTCTTGAAATTGAGTTTGTTGGGGTTTTTTTTATCTGTTTCATTTATTTACTCCTGAGTATAAAATGATGTTAGCACCAAAGGTCAGGAAACTCTCATGTCAGTTTGCAGTCTTGGCAGAGCTGACTGGCTGCTGGGTCAAACTCAAGTGTGTCATGTCCTGGATAAAGGCAAACGGGTCCTGGATAGCTGTGTCACAAACTAGCATAATATCTTTATTGTAACATCAATAAATTATAACTGGGGAAATTCCCTGTGCTTAATGGTTAAAGTTTATCATAAACATCTTGGCAGATCTTTTCTATCTTTCAACCATTTTACATCTTAATTAGTTTTTCATCAGAAAGTTGTGTCAATACATTTGTATTTTAACATTAAGTTCCCAGATGTGTTTATAGTGCTCGTGGAAATGTCATTGGAGAAAAAAATGAAAAATGAAGCTGGACTAAACCAAATATCCAAATAGGAGATCTATGCCACAGAATACACAATTTCAAAAACATTGAGAAAATAAATTTTCAAGATATATGAAGGAGGGAAAGACGCTGAAGGAATAGGAAAAAAATGTCAAATCTCATTAGGAAAAAATGACTAAAAGAAGGTTAATAATTACCAACATACAGGAAAACAATTTTTACAATAATAACATTGTGAGGACAAACAACCTTGAAAGACTGAAGAACTCTGACCAATGCAGTGACCAATCACAGTTTCAGAGAACCGATGATGAAGCATGCTATCCACCTCCTGACAAAGAGGTGATGGTCTCAAGATATAAAATAAGACATACCTTTTTGACAAAACCAATGTGGGAGTTTGTTTTACTTGACTATGCATATTTTACTAAAGTTTTGGCTTTTCTTTTTTTCCGTTGGGTAAGGAAGAGGTAGAGAGAAAATAAATGCTTATTAATTGAAAAAACTTATGGGAATAATCTTAACACATATGTGAGTGTATACACACTTAAATGAGTATATTAGAAGGGAACAGGTAGGCTTTTGCAAGAGATATTCTATATTAACATTTTCCACCAGGTGGGATTTATACCAGGAATGCAGAGTTGGTTCAATATTAGGAAAACTATCAGAATAATTGATCGTATCAACACCAAAAAGAACAGAAATCACATGATCATCTCAATAGATGCAGAAAAAGCTTTTGACAAAATACAGCACCCATTCCTATTAAAAGCACTAGAGAAAACAGAAATCAATGGAGTTTTCCTTAAAATGATAAGTAGCATCTACTGAAAACCATCAGT